TTGTTTGTTTTTACCTCCTGTGAACATTAAAACATACACACACACACATACACACACATGAAAAATTTCAGTTTAACCTTTAGTGCTCATAAATAAGCAGTAAAGCAGCTCTATGTCTGATCCAACAAATCCTGAAGACCTGACTTCAAATTACTTAGTTTAATTTATAAAAGTGAAACTCTCTGATTTAAAGTCAATACTATTAATTGCAAATCATACCATTAATGTATTATAGGACTACAAGTTGTTTCTTTTATCTTTAATTAAAAATTATCCTGTATTCTAAAAAAAATGAAGAATAGTAAAACTATATTATAAACTTAATAAACCTTTTATTTTGCGATGAACTTGTGTTACATATAAAAAAACCTCATAGCATTCTTTGCAATGACTATATTGGTCAAAAGACTAGTTTTACCAATTTTAAAGACAATACCTCTGTTCCTTTTAAAAGGATAGCCAGCCCTTATCATTAAATGGAAAGAGTATAAAAAATAATTCTTAGAAACATTTGAGTTTTAATCATAAAGTATATTAACTTACCACATTTTTTGTGATCTGATATCAGAAAGGAAACAGATCAATAAAGGAAAATATTTGGATGTTTAAAAAAATAAGGTTTCATGTATCCTTTCACATATTATATTCTCCAGGGAGAGGAATAGCAGGGTTCAAATATAGCCATAGATGATAAGGATGTATCTTTTTATATGAGCAGTATAGTTTTGGAAAACCCTGCCCTTTTATGAGCCAATTGTATTCGAGACAATAAAATATAATATATTGTGTCATCTCTGAATTTCTAAATGAAATTATGAAAATCAAATCATATGCTTTTAAATAAATAAGCAAATTTCATTTGTGATTCAGAATTCCTATGATATTATTTTCTTGAGTAGAGGGAGGGGGAATATCCATTTCATGATACTATTTCCAAATCACAGAATAATATAAGCTTATTGATCACATCGTTTCAGTTTAAACTTGGATCTGGCACTTGAAATTTATATTTAGGGGACCTGAATAAGTTTAAACAACAGCCAAAAAGACAAACCAATCAACAAACACTAGCTACAGATGAGGGATTACAGAGTACTTATGGTCTCTCAGTGTTTGGCTCTTCTGATCTCAATAGTGTCGTATCTGAGCTTCTTAGAGGTTCCTCTGATTCATAAGCAAGAGGAAAACATTCTCATAAACAGCTCAGTTGGCAATAGCCAACATTAGACATAGGAGAGAGACACAACAAATTAAAGAAGCAACTTAGGTAGTCATATCCTCTTTATCCAAAGGGTCTTCATAAAGAGTTAAGCATTAACTCTCAGGAAAAAAAAATAGACTTCTATCCTACACCTACAAATATCTGGGAATTATCAAAATTGGGAGGAGTAGGAAATGTGTAAATAGTATTAACTTTTCAGATTACCTTTGTTTTATAGAATGTAATATTAATTATAAGAAACCTGTTGGCAATTAAATGTCTAAGACACATTAAACTATAATGAATAGAAAATATATGCAGAAGCACTTAGAATGCAAAAGTGGACAGGGAATAACAAAATGAAATCTTAATTGAAAAAATGCAAAATAAACATTCAAGAAAAAAGAAAACAAGACCATTAACAAAACTAAACTTTTAGACAATGATTTTTTTCTATATTTTTCTTAAATTTAATAACTTTTATTTCAAAAGAAATATCAATACAATATCAATACAATATAAGAAATATCAATACAATATAAAAATAAGAAAATACACATTAGTAAAAATAAAAAATAAGAGCATCATGTTCATACCACTCAGACAACTACTATTTTGTGTCTTATTTTATGTTATTCCAGATCTATATATCTATAGGTACATATGAATACATTTTCCCCTATTGTGATCCTACTCTTTTTTTTTTTTTTTTTTTTTTTTGAGACAGAGTCTTACTTTCTTGCCTAGGCTAGAGTGAGTGCCGTGGCGTCAGCCTAGCTCACAGCAACCTCAAACTCCTGGGCTCAAGCGATCCTCCTGCCTCAGCCTCCCGAGTAGCTGGACTACAGGCACGACCACCATGCCCGGCTGATTTATATTAGTTGGCCATTAATTTCTTCTATTTTTATGGTAGAGACGGGGTCTCGCTCAGGCTGGTTTTGAACTCCTGACCTTGAGCAATCCACCCGCCTCAGCCTCCCAGAGTGCTAGGATTACAGGCGTGAGCCACCGCGCCCGGCTGATCCTACTCTTTTGTAACCCAATCTTTTCAGTTTATGGTGTATGTCTTCCTGTGGCAGCAAATTTTCATCTCATCCACTACCTAATTCATATTTACATTTCTCCAGGTATCCCCCAAAAAAGACTCTTCTAGCTGATTTGTCCAAACCAGGATCCAATCCAGGGTTGCATTTCACATCTAGTCATTATGTCTATTAAGTCTTTTTAGTCTACAACAGTACCTTTTTTTCATGACATTCACTTATAGAATGTTCCTGTTTCTCGATTTCACTGGTTGCTTCTTTGTGGTTAAGGATTTCTTTTTCAAAAGTACATTCTGTGAGATTATGAAGAATTTGGCCTCTAAAAATGTCTAGCAAAACATTAATGTATGATTTATTTTGTTTTTTAACCACTAGACCACCAGGGATAAAATATGATTTCTAGGTAAAGAAATTGTAGTTCTTTATTTTTTTCTGGTTGTTTGTACCTCTAACATTCCTGCAGAGTGTAATCGAAGAAAAAATAAAGTAATGCAAATCAACCAAAGGAATTGCTCTGGGAAAATATTTAAAGTAAATGCTAACCAGTAAAACAGAAATTACTGTCTAGTGAGTTTTTGAATATTATATTTTGACTGCTAAAGCCAGCTGAAGTATTAATAGTAATGATGTGACAATTGATCTTCCCTGAAATAAGATGAAAAGATGTCTTGTTTTGTCCTATGAGAAGTTTGTTCTTAAAAAAATAAAAAAATAAATAAGCAAACAAATACAAACTAAAATAGAGCATTTCTTTTCATTTACATTGACACATTTTCATAAATATATATCATCTATTCTTTTGAAAAATAAATAAGCAGAGAAAGTTTAGAGTTTGGTCTAAATGTACAGTTTACAAAATATTGGACACTACTGTCAATTATACATAAATTCTTTGTAATAAAAAATTGGGCAGAGGAAACAAAAATACAATCCTTTCTATACTAGTGATTTTTCATGGATATATTTGGTATTTCAGCTAAAAATTATGCCTTGGAGTGAAAACCTGAAATATTTTCTGAAATACATATTTAACTGGAATGCTCAAAAATATAATCTTACACAAATGAAAACCTATCACAATGATGAGTTTGTGTCCATACTATAGTTTAATTTTCTCAGTATAGACTTTTATATCCTTAGGAAATCCCATTTAGAAAAATCTAGTTGAATTATAGCAACATTTCAGTATGCTATAGTGCTTTGAGCTGTCAGGAAACAACCTTTTGGATGAACTACGCTTTTAGGTTTTTCTGCGGTTTTATATGACAATATAGCAGTCATAATCTTTAAAAGACATGACTTCATTTATAGTAGAAATTACACAGACGTTTTTCAAGAGCTCTTTAACATTTCAAGATTTTATTTACGGTCATCCACTATCATTATTTCTGACCTATCTCTGAGCAAAACTTTATTTTGCAAAAGAAAATATTTTTTTCTATAAGAATGTAGTGTATAGAATAGATTTTTCTAAAAATAGAACTATAAGCTATAAAGTGCTTCATTATGGACAGTCTGATCATACAGGGAATTCTTTTTTAATTTTGATATCCATCATGGCTTCATGGTCAAATATTTGTTAGGTAACACTTGTGTGCTTCACTTCAGGTTATTTGCTATGGCAAATGAAATTAATATATTTCAGAACTCTGACCACTGAAACCTTATAGATACTGCTCTACTCTAGAACAAGAAAATTAAAAAACACAAATATTACCGTTCAAGCAAGAAAATATTTATCTTAGAAAACAATAAGAAATGATAAGTTTCAAAATTATATCATTGCTAAAAATACATTAGAAAAGCATTTTCAGAATAAAAATCTCTAATTGATCTCTTGCTAATTCCTTTTTGGTACTGTTTACATCTTGCTATGTCTTACTTAATATGCAGACCTCTTTTATGAGAATACGATGCTTAGAATACACTTTTGATTATAATACTCCTGTCATCATCTCTGTGAACACTTAAACCTGTCTGACCCTTTATCTTTCTCCTTTCCTTTATTCTACCAGAGATGCTCTTGGATCAGAGTTTCAAATAGCACTTTTGGCAATAACCACTCTCTCATTGTTACCCTCTACTCTAGAAGTGTGGGGTTCATATGTGTCCAGAACACCCATTTTTACTTTGGAGCAGTGGTTCTTCACTGGAGGTGATGTTGATAGACCTTTGACAATGCCTGAAGATATCGCAATGACTAGAGGATGGGGGTGCTGCTGGCATCTAGTGGATGGAGGCCGGGATGCTGCTATACATCCTAAAATGCACAGGACAATCTTCCACAACAAACTAGTATCTAGCCCAAAATGTCAATAGTGCCACTGTTGTAAAAGTCCACTTTAGAGAAAACACTGAAAATAAAATTATAAACCATGGCAATGTTATTAAAATGTATTTTCCATTTATTCATAGATGATAGTAAAATTTTAAATGATTCCACACCAACATTTTGGCATATGTTCTTCATTCTGTTACTGAGCTTTACATTATTCATCAAATGGCATGTTGTGGCTGCTCATCCTCAAAGACTTGTTGAACATGCATGGTTTATTATTTCAAAAAGAGAAAAGAAAAGAACAAAACCTACAGTTTTTACTATGAGAAAGATTTTGGTAGATCCCCAATGCCATTTTATTTGCATTTCATCCAAATGACTAGACTTGTAAAATGTGGATAATGTCTTCTACAACTGCTCTTTCCACTTTCTGTGTCTTCTCTCTCTTCATACTTTTTTCTTTCGTTCTGGTTGGCAGAACTCCACTGATCGCAGCTGGAGTCATTGGTGGTCTCTTCATCCTGGTCATTGTGGGTCTGACATTTGCAGTTTATGTTAGAAGAAAGAGCATCAAAAAGAAAAGAGCTTTGAGAAGATTCCTGGAAACAGAGGTGAGATGTTTATTTCTGCTTTTCATGGGTTGAGAGATTTTCATTAGGTTTAGGTTTAGATGATATTCAGTTTTTTAATCCAAGTAAAATTCTGTTCAATTTCCCAGTGAGGATTTTATTTATAGTACATTAGACCAAGCTGATGAAAAATCGTATTATAAAGTAAAAGCAGTCAAGACAGTTTCATGGCTTCAAGTAGATAAATGGTGGGGGTCAAGAAAATTATTGTACTGGAGGAAAAGCAGACCTGCTTCTTTGTGTGTGTGTGTGTGTGTAGGGGAGTTCCCATTAGCAAGCTTCGGATGGAGGATATCTCAAAGCAGCAGAACTAGAAAATATCTGAGTAGAAGATATCTCAGTTACAGAACTAGGAAAACATCAGAAAGAGAGACAATTTTTCTGGTTCAAAAGATAATCAGATAGGCAAGTAATATATGCTTTACCTAGGATCATTAAATCGGTAGCCAATAATCTCATTATACCAGCAGTGAAAGACCAAGCTTATAGGATAAAGCTTAGTGTTGTAATCACACAGACCTTACAACACAATTCATGAGATTCATTTAATATTATGTATGGTGGTTATTGTGAATATGTTAATTACTCCTAAATGATTATAATTTCTTTTATATTGCTACACTGAATTCTCTAGCATGAAAGCTGATAGTTTTAGTTTTTCATTGTACAGGGAACATTTACAGACACTATGCATTTCTAGATCCTTCTTAACTTGTACCTCTCTCCTGATACAAACATTCTTGCCTATCTGAGCAATTCAGATCAAATTCTTTTCTGAGACTAAGTCTACCCTGGGTTTGTTTGTTTTCTTTCTCATTGTCAGTGTGACAAGCTGACTTTCCCTCTGAACACTAACAGGAATGGGAATATTCATTTCACTCATGAACTTTGTACACTGATAATAAAATACATTCTACCTTTTTCCCTCCAGATAAGGGGTCCTCAAACTTTTTAAACAGGGAGCCAGTTCACTGTCCCTCAGACCATTAGAGGGCTGGACTATAGTTTAAAAAAAAACTATGAACAAATTCCTATGCACACTGCACGTATCTTATTTTGAAGTAAAAAAACAAATGGGCAAAAACACCCGCATATGGCCTGTGGGCCCTAGTGTGAGGACGCCTGCTCCAGAAGTTAAACCTAGATAGAAGCATCATGTGGAGTTTTCAGGAAACTACCCGATAGCTACTTATAGGTATTTTCCTTAGAAAATACTTTCTAAGGATTGGAGTTATCTGAAATTAAGGATGAGCTGTCTCATCAACAGACATGTTCAAACAAAAAAAAGGTAGTCAATTACACATGGGACAATCTAGTAATAATACTTACTTTAGCTGGATGCCTATAGAATATTAATTTCATCACTTTCAACCTTGAACATGAGAATGAAAGTTTGGGCACAACACATGCGCTGTGCATATTTTCAACTTAACAATGACACTGGAGGCAGGTAGAATTCTTCCTCATGGCCAGCTTGGGGCAGTCAGTGGGAGAATTCTGAAAAGTGAATTATTATAAACTAGAGTTGGAGAAGAATTGAAGATTTGGAACAACAGTGGACATCAGGTGACTAAATAAATGGAAGAGAAATTCTGTCTTTTAACCACTTGCAGGGAAGACTCATTACTAGGAAAAGAGTTGTATTCCTTTGTTTTAGTTTTTTTAATTTGGTGCTTTATAAGAATTTCCTTCAAATTGTCATTTCCTTAATGAATAAATAGCACACTAATTGGTTTTATAAGCAGCTTCTATTTTTAGAGAAAATTATTGCTTAGGAGTAAATTATTTTACATTTGCATGTTAGATAATCATAGAAAGCCATTTCTCTCAGTAAAAATAAATATGATTTTATGCCATCATCTAAATAGAAAAGGAATTCTTAAGAGGATCAATTTAAATCCTTAAATACTGCTAGGAATTTGCGTCAGAGGTGAAGATTTATTGAATCTTGATATAATGTTGGGATGCACCTAAAGTTGATGCAATTTCCCCAAATCATTCTGCTCTAAATTGTCTTTCTTATGTCAAATTTTCCAACACACACTGACTGAAATGCACTGAGATTCACTGTAAGCTTGATGCTTTGGTAGATGCAATGATTCAAAAATGTATGGATGAGACATCATCCTATTCCTTCAAGAGTGACAAATTCAGTGCCTATAATATGCCAGGCAGCATTCCAATGTCATCTTATTTCCTCATTTAATGATAATCTATAAGGTAATTATTGTTATACCTATTTCACAGATGGGAAATAAGAGGCTAGGGGAAGGGAGGTGCTTTCTAAACCTGTGAGTGGCAGCACTGGCATACAAACCTCCAAGTTTAAACTCAATTCTCTTTCCACCATATCCCTGCTGGCAAAATGATACTATGCTTCGTTTAAGGGTATAATATTAAAATTCATTGAAAAATGTGTTTGTAGAAATGTTTTAAATGATACCTGAGAAAATTGCAAGAAACTAAAAGTCTCAGAAGTTTTCAAAATCTGAAATTACTTACTACATGGTATATGCCAAGACATATATATATTTTAAGTATATGTAGCCCAAAGTGCTGAAGCCCCCTCCCCAATTTTGCTTGTGATTGTATATGACTTTTATATGATTTTATATGACTGTGTGATATTTAAAAATATTTCACAAAAGTTACTCATTATACACACAGTGCATGTATCAAAATCTACCAAAAACTCCTGTACAGTAGAGTCTACGTCAAAGGAAGGGGTTTCTGCTATAGATTCATTTTTAGATTTAACAAATAATTTAGTGATTCTTTCTGAGTTTTTTATGTGACATGAACTTAGTTACATCTTATCAAATTTACCATTTTTTACAATATACATTTAAAAACGAAATTAGAAGCAATTAGTTGTTAAACTGTTAGCAAATAGCCTGTTTGTTGGTCATTTTTATCACACTCTTCCTAAAATTCTCACTAGAGCTACCCTTACCTTCAGGTAAGACTGTTCCACTAAGGGGGCTGTTATATTCACAGACGCATGATATTAACACCCACCCTGGAGAGCCACAGTGAGCTCCATTTTGTAAAGAGGTGAAGAGGTGTCTTGAAATACTATGATAATTTCAAGAGCATTTGAGTAGGAGTAGCGTTTAATTAGTTCTTTAGGCTGAAAAAAAAAAAAAAAAAAGAACAGGATATGTGTCTATGTGTAAAATTTAGTTCCTTTATTTAACTTTAAAAAAAGGGGGAAAAAACCTCTTATTTCTCTCATTTGCTTTTTTCTCACATATAGATAAAAACCTGAAATTTTAACCTAGGATAGAGGCTTTTTGGTGCCCAGAGTCTCTCTTAATGTGTATTTCTCATATATGAAAATAATTGGCACATATTCAAATACCTTTCCCCTACCTCATTCATCCTCTCTAGCTGAATTCATATTTCAACTATAACATCGAAAACTATCAGCTTAATTTTACTTCTTTGGCCACACCCAGCCCATCTCATGACCTGGCGTTTTCCACCCTAAACTCATCCTGCAGACCTGCCCCACTCCCTGCCACATTACCTATGTGTCTTCTTCCATTCCCCTCTGCTGTGCCCAGACTGCTCTTCACTGTAGCAGTGCCCACCCAGGGTCTACCCCTTTTCATTATCTCAAGACTGATCTTCAAGTGTGTACCTCCTCTGGGAAGCCAAAACCAGTGAGTCTCATTTCCCAGTGGATCTTTTATTCCTTGCTTTTAATAGCATTCATTTATGATCTAGAATCAAATCGTAGACTTTTAGAATTTTTAACCTAACAGGTACACTCGGGCCTTGATACTTAAAGCATGTTTAAGGACCACCATAGGTATCACCTGGAGTTCTGTGAATTTCAAGTAGGCAAAATTTCAGGCCTACTCCAGACCTACTGAACCAGGACCTGCATTTAACAAGAACTTCAGGTAACTCACACATACACAAAAATTTTAGCAACGTGGGCCTGGGGTATCGGCGTTGTGCTAATTTTTCTTCCCTCTCTTCTGATGTGTTTGTCCTGACTTACCAGATAGACTTTTAAGCTCTAAGAAGGCAGCATTTCCTTTCTTTCCTAATGTATCAAATCTCCTGTGTTAGGATACATCAAGGTAGGCACACATTTGTTACTTGTATTTGCCCTGGCAAAGAGCAGGGCAAGAGAAAGGATAGAGTCTAAAGGAATACATGAATGTTGTGTCTGCGCATATTACAAAAGTACTGTTTGTCAAAGAAAAGTGTGTTTGTGTGTTTTTTGCATGTACAAGAAAGAGAACCAGAGAGAGAGAAGGACTGGTTGATGGATTGAAAGTTGTATAACCTTATCCTTTTTACTTTGCAGTTGGTAGAACCCTTAACTCCCAGTGGCACAGCACCCAATCAAGCTCAACTTCGTATTTTGAAAGAAACCGAGCTCAAGAGGGTAAAAGTCCTTGGCTCGGGTGCTTTTGGAACTGTTTATAAAGTAAGTAAAAAACAACACACACTGTCAGTTAATTTAAGTGTTGTTTCAGACTTTAAAAACATAATAACCAGAGTTATTACTTTAGCCAACCTAATTTCCTTTTATTAATAATATTCAGAGAGGAAGATCTATAGAAGTATAGAGAAGTGGCTGCACAAATGAATTCATTAATTTTTATTGAACAAGCTGGCATGGATTTATTGAGAGAAAGACAGGAAACACTGATACAAAGCTTCTTTCTCTCAATGCCCTCTCCTGAGCCCCTTTTAATATCCTTTTTCCTTTGGCAAATTATCATCATCCAAAATAGCCAGCTCCAACCCTTTTTCATTACCCCTACACAGTACTCCATGAAATCCCAGGCATGCCTGGGCAATGCGCCATAGTCCCTTGCTCTTTTTCTCTTCTATTTTTATCCAAAAGTCTTCCCATCAGGACCCTACTAGCTGATGTCTTTAGAATCCACACAAATGTGCTGATGCCTTAATAGGAAGGAACTACTTCCTAAATCATTTTTTGCCCACCTGGTTACATTTATGATTTTGTAATTTCCATAGTTTTGATGTCCTCATCATTATTGGCAAATTAAAACAGTGACTTTATATGTGAAATGTAGGTCAGATAGGTGAAAAGTGTGACATCATACATTTTCAATAAGAGGTATTTCTAGAAAGGAAAAGCTCAAATGACAGCATTTGCATGTTTACTTGTTTGCCTTAATTATAAGACCAATCCAGAGGCCAGGCCCAAGATTAATTGTGGTAAAATTTATTTTAATGGGTAAAAAAGAAAAGAATAAGAAACTTGGCTGTGCTAATGATGAAGTCGTCTTATAATATCCATTAATATAATTCCCAAAGTTCACTTTGGCAGTTTAATATTGTTCTTAAAGTTATATGCAAGCCTATATTTTTATGAACATATCTGTTAAAATAGATTGAATCTTAGGAATTTTGCATTGTAAATGTTCTCTTTTTTTCTATTTAAAACAATGATTTAGGCCAGGTGCAGTGGCTCACACCTATAATCCTAGCACGCTGGGAGGCCGAGGCGGGAGGATTGCTTGAGCTCAGGAGTTCAAGACCAGCCTGAGCAAGAGCAAGATCCCCCGTCTCTACCATAAATAGAAAGAAATTAGCCAAACAACTAAAAATAGAAAAAATTAGCTGGGCACGGTGGCGCATGCCTGTAGTCCCAGCTACTCAGGAGGCTGAGGCAGGAGGATCGCTTGAGCCCAAGAGTCTGAGGTTGCTGTGAGCTAGGCTAATGCCATGGCACTCGAGCCTAGGCAAGAGAGTGAGACTCTGTCTCAAATAATAATAATAATAATCATCATCATAATACAATGATTTAATAGAAAATATTACCAATTAGAGTAAAACCTAAATTTTTCTCCCGCGAGGACTCTAAAATAATCTAATTTCCTTAAAATAAAACTATTCTATTCTATAGTCAAAATGTAGAAGATTCTTAATCTTTTTAGTATACATTTTCTGTTCAAATTGTTAACTGAGCAACTACTTTGCCTACTAGGTACTACTCTAGGTTGACTTGATGTCTTTTCAAATCTTCAGATTCTATGTGCATTCAAAGAAACACAATTTATCCTGTTTATTTTTTTTATATTATGCTAGAAAAGAACTTGGACAGTATCATTTTATATACTTAAAAAATTTAATCTATCTGTTTATAGCAATTTTACTCATACCTTTAATAATTTTAATCTTTATATATGTCTATGATAAAACAATGTCAAGTAAATTATTTGGATTAATCAATGTAATGTCCTAAATGACAGCCTTGATTTAAAAAATTGGCAAATTGGAGATAATGCAGTGAATTGAATCAATACTGACAGTCATAGTTATTCTGGATCACCCAGCCTCCATAAACCCCTATTCTAATGATCTGTTGCTGGATTTCCCCCCACCTGAATTATCCAGTAATTGCTTCAAATCTCCATATCCATAGATGTAAGTGGAGATTTCTGTGTTGAACCACAGGACAAGGCAGTAGAAAGATACTAGAGCTTTCTGCCCTTAAATTTTGGTGTTACCACTTCATGTCACACTGACAAAATTTAAAGCAAATAAACATATTTGTGTTTATGGAAAAGAGAGAGATAAATGGCCAAATTTAAATGTATTATAATAAACTTCTATATTTAAGGTAACTTAATCTCAGATTGTTCCTAGAATGCAATCACACTTATATTTTTTAAGATAATATTGTCTGGAAATTAAATTTCATTTTAAACTATAGATACCCTTTAACTCAAGACTAAATACTGTCTAGTGACCTTAATAGAGAAAAATATTCTTATTGAATCATTTAATAATAAGGCTTTATTAATATGTTTATAAAGAGCAGTTATGGCCAGGCATGGTGGCTCATGCCTGTAATCCAAGCACTCTGGGAGGCCAAGGCGGGAGGATCACTTGAGGTCAGGCGTTCACGACCAGTCTGAGCAGGAACAAGACCCCATCTCTACTAAAAATAGAAAAAATTAGCCAGGTGTGGTAGCGCATGCCTGTAGTCTCAGCTACTTGAGAGGCTGAGGCAGGAGGCTGGCCTGAGCCCAGGAGATTGAGGTTGCTATGAACTAGGCTGAAGCTACTGTACTCTAGCCCACATGACAGAATGATACTCTGTCAAAAAAAAAATAATAATTAAATTAAATTAAATATATAAATGTTTTAAAAAGAGTAGTTATTTGTTGTCCATGAGTGTTTCACCTTTATTGAAATTACTTATAATAAATGTTATTGGCAGTTTCATAAATTTGTTTGCATTTTATGCCTGGCATGTATATGGCTGACCCTAAGTTTCAATCACTATATCAGTTGTTATAAGGACATATTGTCTTAAACTATAAAGTATTATTACTGACCATAGAAATGTAAATTGGCTTAACCAATTATTTGTGGATTTTTTTTCTCCTAAGTAGAAATATGTTGTGTTTAAGCATTAAAGATTGGAACCAATATCATGGGTATCAGCATAGTTGAATTTTTATCTGGTCAGGCCTAAAAAATAATGACAATACTTATTTTAAAAAGCAGTACAAATTAGTTCACATTGAATTTATATTTTATTTTATAAGTATACTTGAGAAATACTTTAATATTGATTCTATATCTTTATAAAGTAACCTCCCTACAGCTATTTAATTGAGTAATAAATAGTAAGCCTGTTCTTTGCCCCAAATGCCATCAGTTCGAAAATGTAGCCTGTTGGTCTTGGGCTTCTTTTTTCCTATTTCTACTTTAATTTTTTAAAATTATATATAAGAAACTTGGCTTATTATTTTGCATTTGACAGATACATTTCCCTATTTACTATTACCATGAAGAACACAACCATAAATTCACTTTCTAAAGGTTAAAGTCTTTTATTTTCTGTATTATTATTATTGTACTTCTGAATAATTCTTGTGTTCAGGTCTCCTCATATTATTACAACTTTGGGTAACACAAATACATATGTTTCAGCATAGAAGTTCAAAGTGAAAAAACATTTTTACCTTTTTTTATGACTACAACCAGCTGATATTAAGAAAGACAGGAAATGGAGATATTCTGTTCAGGAATATCAGACTATTTTTTCTTCCTCCTATTTTAATGTTAAAACTCTTACAAAAAGTCTTTTTAGAGGTCAGTGCTAATAAATTAAAATTTGAGATATTTTTCTTCTCTTGACCTCATATTTGCTTTTGTGTTCATTTGGAACAATATGTCTCTTAAAAAATATTCTTGTATGATCTGTTGATCCTTGTATGTCTTATACAAATCATTGTCCCCATTCAAATCTTTGAATTAAGTTTACCCAGAAATGCTGTTATTTAGCTTAATGTTGTACCTTACATAAACTCTACCAACTTACTTTCCCAGGGCATAGATCTCATTCAGATATTGTATTTTGAAAAGAAGAGAGAATTAGCAATGGCCAATATAAATATTTTATACTTCTTCAGAGATAATAAAATCCTTCGCATATACACACATGCTTTTTAATAATATAGACAAATTAATACCCTCTACCCATTCCCTTTGAAAATTAACTCTCAAATAAGTACTGTTGAATTAATTCATAAATCAATCTGAGGTTGAGGATCATGAGAATATGCTTTTTATATTCCTTTTTTGTTTTGTAGAATATTTAGAAAATATGCAAGCTGAAACAGATCTCTAACATTACTTAGCCCAATCTACTAAATTACTAAATTACAAATGAGACAACTGGAGTTCAAAAAATGAAACAACCTTCTCAAAGTCTTGAAAAGTTGACCTCATCCAAATCAGATGTTGTTATGCTATTCTATTTCAATCATTTATTCACTATTCAAAGCCTTTTTCATGCATAAAAGTTAAAACTAATAATGGTATAAATACCTTAAAAGCAGAAAATATATATATGTATCATATATATGTCATTCATCTTCAGATAATGAAAGCAGATAATAAAGTTGCAGAATGATATAACATATAACAGGTGCTAAATAAATGTTTGTTGATTGAATGAAAGAACATATGACTTCTAAATTATTTTTTAAGAAGTTAATATTTGAGAAGTCAAATATAATGTGAACTTTTTCCCTCAAAGGGCATTTGGGTACCTGAAGGAGAAACGGTGAAGATTCCTGTGGCTATTAAGATTCTTAATGAGACAACTGGTCCCAAGGCCAATGTGGAGTTCATGGATGTAAGTATGGATGCCCAGGCAATCACATTTTTATGCATTATCAAATAATCTGCTTTGAGAATTAAAAAAAAAAAGATTACATAACTTACAAAGTTTTTTCTATGGAAATGGTATAATCTTATAATTAAAGAAATTTCTAAGACCACTTCACATTAGATTATACTTTTTAGATTACCTCTGGTTCACAACTATCTGCGTAGATAGTTCATTAGCACTTGAATTTAGAATTTGAAGATATTTACAATCCTCAAGGTGAATTATATTTTATGTTGAATTAGACTTAAAATGTTTCTATATTTTATTGTTGAATATAGCCAAATAGCCTTCTAGTGAATGCACTATGTAAATCGAACTGGAAATATATTTAGTAACCAAAAATAACCAATTGTATTCAATAACCAGATATTAATGTATTTCTTCAAATTAGTTGCAATGAATAGTATTAGAAGGACTATGTGGCGATAATAAGAAGTCACTAATATTTGGAAAGTATTAACTAAGCACCAAGCACTGTTATAAATAATTCACAAATAATAACTCACTTAATTCTCAGATATGACAATCCAGGAGCCTAGGATTGACTCAGGGTTAATTCAAGGTCACAAAGTTAGGAAATGGCAGGTCTAGGCTTTGAGTTCAGGCAACCAGGCTTGAGGAGGGACTTCTTTTTAAGAGCCAAAGAATAGTCAGGTTGTGCATGTTATGTGTTCTCTTTGGCAACTATTCAGCTCTGCCATTTTTGGTGAAAGCAGCCATAGGCAATTGAAGCAAAACAAAATGCCAGTGGGTGTGACTGTGTTCCAACAAAACTTTTTATTTACATAAACAAGCTGTAGGCCAGATTTGGCCTGCAGGCAAGCCCATGCTTTCAAGGGCTATGTGTTTAACTACTATGCCAAACCACATTTTGGGAATAATAACGATGATTTGAAAAATTAATTGTGCTGTTTTATTATATTATGGTTATGATCCACTTGGTTGAAAATATCAATCAATATTACTTTCTATAATAAATCAGTCTCTGCTAAATTTAAATTAGAAACCTACCTAAGTCAGATAATTACTCCTTGTAATTTATTTTTTTCATTTCAAATTCAGAAGATAAGACGTTACAAGTTAAAAAAAAAAAAAAAAAACTCCAACTGTAGAATGATAAGAGAGTTCTAAAGAATAAATGTACTTTATAAGGTCAATCAGAACTTTAAGATTTCCCCTAACAAAAATTGTAGATTGAGCTGTTCAGCAAATTTCATAGAGTAGGATAGAATAAAACTATATATATGTAGCATGCTGTTATTTTTTCACATTCAACACAAGGTATCCTGCCAGGGGTTCTATCAAAGATCATATACGTTCTTTCTCTATTTTTTAGCATAATGTCTTCAGTAATAAGGATGATTTTGATTCTCAAATGACCTTCATATGAAAGATGATGCAAGCATATGCACTTTGATTTTTTTAAAAGATGGATTGCTATATATTTCTACCCAATTTCTCCTGTAAGCTCTTTTGCAAGTTTTTCAGGAGCTCAGTCTGTGACCTTGAATAATTTATTTGGGTATTATGCTAACCACTTTGTATAAGACTACTTTTAGCTTAACTTATTATTGGTTATTATATAATAGGGCTAATAATCAGATGGTACAAACCTGCTTTTCTGATTGTTTGGTTCCATGCCTTACCAGTTGCTTTACATTTTAAATATCACCCTACATACATATCATCCAATACCTGTCTAACAGACAATGAGTCCAGTAACAAAATAATGTTTCTTTCTGCAGGTCTCTAAAGATTCTGAACCTCTCTGCAGCTACATGTCCTGGCTCATATGTTAAAATTTAAAACTGAAGCCTTTTTAAGTGATGTCCCAATTACTCAATTTGATCTTGATCATAGCTATAAATTTGTGAAAGGAACTTTACAAGAAGTTAGAAATTATAAAGAAAAATTACAATGAGTAGAAATTGTTGATTAATTTATAAAACTGGTAGAAAAAATCTTACCGAGCCTAAGCTACAACCAAAGCTGAAATTCACAAGAATGCTAATAATCCCTGCTGGAGGCTTGGACAGCCATTTTTGTCATATTTCCATGGAAACAGACTGGCAAAAGGGGGTTAAGAGGCTACAAAATAATAACCTAAGGAAAAAAACCTCTAAAAACCTCATCATGATTTTGAATGATTATTTGAAAGCTCCTAACCCCATCCATTTTTTGTTTCTTGATCTGAAGTCTATTCCCATGGAAACAAGAGTGGGGATGGCAGCTTGAAGTCTTAGATTTCCACTGAATTTTAGATGAGGCTCTGATTGAGCCATGAAAGGAGTCATTTTCCTACATGGTTGATGGATTTGGTAACCAATAGACTCAAAGGAATTTGTTCTTTTTAAAAGTTAAGAAAAGTTAAGGAAAATATTTTGACTGTGCCTTTCCTACTTGTGGATAGATGCTAGAAGTTTAACAGATTGACGGACTGCTATTGGCAGAGTTTCAATAAATATTAGCAGAAACGCTTCCTACTATTTTGATGACTTCTTTCAAAACATTGGAAGGATAACATCACCATGATTAAAACACAGTTTTACTGGCAACATTGATGGTGAATTCAATATTTTACATAGACTGGTGTAATTTTAATATAAACATATGCCTACATTGCATACCTACATTTTCAGCTCATCTGTTATGTGTGTCAGGCGTCCTCAAACTACGGCCCTCAGGCCACATGTGGGTGTTTTTTCCCACTTGTTTTTTTTTTTTTTTACTTCAAAATGAGATATGTGCAGTGTGCCTAGGAATTTGTTCATAGTTTTTTTAAAACTATAGTCCAGCCTCCAACGGTCTGAGGGACAGTGAACTGGCTCCCTGTTTAAAAAGTTTGAGGACCCCTGGTAGATGATTGTAAGTATTTGAATAACCTATTAAACCCCAAGCAAAGGTTTGTATAACGAAACTTATTTTATAATTTGGACCTAAGGATTTAGTCGAAATTACAAATGTTCTAGAGTTCTTAGGTTAAAAGTAATATGTTTAATATATGTCTCAGTTAGGGTTCTTCCAGAAGTAGAAGTTGCCCCCGAAACAAGGATTTGAGTGAAAATAGTTTATTTTGGAGGTGAAAGACTCCAGTAGGGGAATGTGGAAATAAGATAGGGGAACCAATAAAGCTAGCTGCCATTGTGAGAAACTGGAATTTCTTTCTACTGGAAAGACACTGGCAGGCAGTCAGTTGCAAGACACGCCTCAGAATTATCCTACTCAGGGTTCCGGGAGCTGGAGCCATTACATGAGCTCTGTCAGTTATCGATTGAGGAGTCCTGGGAGAAAGAGAGATTTATCTTCCTACATGTCCTACCTCCTGAGGGTAGCAAAATAGCCTTAGGTGGCAAGAGAAAGCTGTTGGGCAAAGAAAAGTGAGTGGAAGTCAGGTGGTACAACACTATGATAGAATGTTCCCAGGGTAACTTTCAAATTGAAGTAAGATGTACTGCAAACATGTTACATGTCTCTTTTGGAAACGAGTGCATGTGTATGTTTGTACTTATATGCATGTGTTTCTATGTGTTTTATAACATTTTATAGAAAGAAAATAAAGTTTCCAAAGATGGTGGAAATTGCATACTCTCATTAATCATTTAGATCCTTTCCCACCCTGCAACTTTACACTTAGAGCAGAATAGTCTAGATTCAATAATCACTACTACTATATTTATGAGATATAGCCATGCTTTACTGGTTATTATGTGTCACAAATGCAGCACCTTAATATTCAAAATTCATCACTACAATTCAACACTTCTATTAATATTCAAGGGCAAAGGAGAGGATTGTTATATTTTCTTAGAATTTTTAACATAGGCAAAAAATAAATATGGGGCAGTTTGTGCACTATTAAATGCTACACTAAAAGCAAGAGAAGGAGAATCTTATCACAGGGCTTTTACTCGGCTCACCTGAGTATGTCTAATGGATTCATAATGACAATAATAACACACTGCTGTGGCCAGTGCATTCTTCATTCCCATTAAGAAAGATCACACTGAACAACATTAAGAAAATGACTCTAAATGTCCACCTTCATAGAAAGAATGTCTGCATTTATACATGGTCCTAGTTCTTGTTTCAGATAGCACCATTTCAAAATGAGAAAAGTGTGACTTATTTTTTTTTTTAATCCACCAAATGGTGCTGAACACCAGACCTAAGAATGATGTTATTGAACAAAATTCTTAGATTATGGGACCATGGTAGATAAAATCAGCCAGACTTGATAGCTTTTCTGAGTTCCCACCACTCTGTATTTTTCCCCCAATATTTAAGCCTAACATCAGTGTTTTATCTAAATTGTTTTCTTAAAAAATTAGCTGAGAATGGAAGAAATTCTGTAATTATTCTAAATTTCAATGGCTGATCAAAAGTACTGGCTTAGCTCTAGCATGAATCTTCTTGGCTTCAATTTTGGTTTTCCCACACCAAATTCACCATATAGTTCACAGAAAATTGCTGTCAGGAAATGTGTTTCAAAACATCCAACCTTACATGTAAATGGTAATATTTTATTAAAAGAATAGCTTGTTTTCTTCTCCATTTACAAGAGGAAATTTTATTTATCTTACACAACTGACGTTTTGCTATTTTCTAAAGAAATGTTCATGTGAATTGTGTTTATATGTTGTCTGTATTGTTTTTTATCTTGGTGGAAATTGTTTCAACGCTAATTGATGTCATCATAATGGGACAAGATGAATACAATATACTAGTAGTTTATATTTTCTGTCGGATTATATCAGACTTGTAATATTATTTGAAAAGATATTTTGTTCTATAACATTTTCACATTCCAAAAGTTCATGTATATGACTTCACATAGTATGAAAAACTCTTAGCTAGATCCTGTGTTATACTAATAGTGGATTTTTTAAAAATTCACATTTTTAATTATATCTGTTGACTTTATAGGTTTTGTTCATTTGCATATATGAAAACAATTCATCTATTTC